CCCAAGTTGAACCTTACATGCCAAAATACAAAACTGACTTACGCCAAGAACCATCAGGTCGCCGCACTACGTAATGGTCACCAATGTCAAGCGGTCTATCAGGAACACCTTCATTACCAACCCTCTTTACGTCCGAGTTATTTGTTGTTCTTGACGGTTTATCCTGATCGTTAATATCCACGGGTATATTAGACGGCATATTTCTAAACAACCTACTGGTCATTGTGTAAAAAGACAAAAAGACCAAAACTAACAGCTCTGTAAGGACAATCATCAACCTTCTTCCATTGTTAGTAAACAAAGTTAATACTGGAATGTACAAAAACAATGTATCTCATAACTTACAAGTGGTCAACTTAGATATGCTTAATTTTCCTTAAACGATACTCATGTTATTGGTAGGCATGATATGGAATGTTCATAAACTGATTTTAGACTTGCGCTTTTGCTGTACTCTAGTGTCTGATATTGTAATTATAAATTTCCATTATCCATCATCTACGGCAGCTCTCTTTCGTATTTTAAAGCAGTTGACAGCATACGTAGAGACATCTTGGCACGATTTACAGGAACTACTTCCACAAGCACTATTATCATTTACAAGGGGTTCCAAGAAAAAAACTTGGAATCAACAATTGAAGAAATTAACCCAGCAGTATCTAGCACATTGGAAGTAAGCATGTGTCATAACTGTGTGCATATTCATGAAGTATACTTGATTAGTGACCTCTGAGAAATTATATTTCATCATGCAGATTCACAATTGTCACTTCTCAATAGAAGCTGAAATTGCTTATTTGTTTCATTATTCATTGTCTGCTGCTCTGCTTCAAAAATTCTATATCAATTGCTGCAAGAATATTATTAATTGTAAGAAACTGGCATCATGGTGTAATGTAGAAGATAAGCTCAGACTTATTTTATCTACAAAAAGTACTAAATACATTAGTCATTTTGAGTTCTTGTTGCAAAATTTGCAGTATAATATTGATCATATGTTCTTAAAATGAGTTTACTTGTTTTATTGTTTAGGTAGTGGTGATTGATAATATTGTGAACTTTGTTTATTTCAGATTAATAATGTTTAAAGAGTCAGTTTATTTAGTGGCAGACATAGTTTTATTTAGTATGAGATGCAAAATTTAATGATCTAAGTACTACTAAAGTTTTGCACCTCTGGGTGTAGCAGTCTATACATTATATAAATGGGTAATGTTCAAGAAATTGCCTTTTCTTCTGTGACTGTGGTAAACATGTGAATAATATTTAATATCTGGAAACTTTTCAGTATTCTTCCATGTTATACATTGCAGTCTCTGAAAACAATGTTTTTTGTTCACAAATATCTGTGATCAGAACATGTTTTTTGTTGTAAATTTTCAAACCACAACTGACATGAGTCCTTATGAATATCAGACTTTGTTATGGTTCAGAGCATTTCAGTAAGTGGATTATTTATTGATATGGATGAAATTCTTACTATAATTATGTCATTTTTTAAGGAGCTCTCTTGTTGATGTTGGTGGGATGTCTTCAACTGATGGATAACATTTATTTAAATTATTATACATACAATTTTTTATCCAAAGGTAGATCAGGCACCCCTGAGGCGAAGTTTACATACGACATCAGGGTTTTAGAAGTATTCATTGTTTATTATTTAGGAGTGGTGGTGAGTGACGTAATTTCGAAGGTTGAATAGTAGTCAACTTTCTTACCGATTAGTTTCTGTTTCTGTTGTGTTTACTCCTGAATCGCTCAAAGAGTGCAGCACAAGATATGAATGGCGCTATGTAGGTCCCAAATAGCATTGGAGTTATGTATCTGGGTTAATTTATGTTCTGCAGCTTTGCGAACGTTTAGATTTTACAGCATAAATCGAACGCAACCATGTGTATCAAATGTTGTTTATGTTGTCTGTGTTCTGATGTGACATAACTTGTGACCTTCAGAATCATACATTAATATTAGAACACTTTTGTCTATAGAAGAGTGGGGAGGAATTTTACAGTGGAGAATAGAAAATAACTAAACTATTACAAAAATGGCATCGCAACTGTCTGATGAAGAATTTAAAAGATTACAGGTACTAAAGAAACAGGTGTTGCTATTTTATGTGTAGTGAGAATCAGTTTATTTTATTTTCTGTTCCGGTATGATTTGATTTTAAAAGCAGATGTGGTTCCATTGATTAGTAATTCTTAAATTGGTGTAAGGAGTTGCAAGGTTAATGTGTTCGTGATAATGAAATTTGCTAATCAAAGTGCATTTCTTTGAATGCATTCGTTGACGAAGGAAATATATATTCTCATGTGTATCAGATAGACAGAATTAAGAAATACCAAGTGAGGAAAACGTTTAAATTTTGTTTCAGTCAATATACATCTCCCTTCCTTTACAGCTTACTTATCATTATTAATTTCGTCATATACCTGTCCAAGCATTAGGCCACTTATTAACTCATTCTAGCCTTTGTCATGCGGATGCCTTTAAAGGCCCATGATTATGCCATTTTATGTATGCAATGGGCCACCTTTCACTCCATTTTCCTGTACCTGCAGCAGATTGCATTTTCTTTGTGTATCAAAATGAATGTAGCTGCTGGTGATTTGCAAGCCATAGATCTTCTAAAGTTACCATTGGCTCTGTGTTGATCTTCTTTGTAGTGCCATGAAACTTCAGAGCTTGAAAAATATTTTAAAGTTTTCAAAAAGAGAGATGATATTGCATGTTGAAAACATAAGATTTGAAACATCTATAACAGTGTGAGAAACTGTAAAATTATTTGAGATTTTAAGTTCTCATGGCTGTGTAGATGTGTTGGTCTTCTGGGTTATGATGTCATGTGGATTTGTAGGTGGATACCAGTGTTTTGAAGGAACATGTTCCTTCATGCAACATTACAACCCAGAAGACAAACAACAACAAATGTGAAATCTACTGCTGAAATATATAACAATATTTTTTTAATATTCAAATGTGTTTTGACTCATTGTTTTAATGATTTAAATCTGGAAGGTGATTGAGTTAAATAGTTATTTCTGTGTTTTTAGACACAACTTATTGAACTAAAAACTGCTAACTATGGGTTAGAGGAGCAGTGCAAGAAATATAGAAATGGTAAGTTAGAACTTTATTGTTGTTTGGTACATTACATGTAGGCCTACTAAAAATGTATGTTCAATTGTGGGCATGGGTTGTGGAGAGTAACAGTTTTATGATGAGTTAATTTTGATTAATACTTTTTCTGGGATATTAAGCAATTTGTTATGTATGACATTCTTCTTCCTGTGGCTCTACAACCCAGTGTGGGTCTTGGCCACCTCCTTTCAGAGGTTTCTTAGTTTCTGAAGTGTGCATTTGTGACTAGTGAGTGATAAGCCCGCTGCCTCTGCGCAATTCCTACTCAGTCCTGATTTTGTCTGCTAGAGCCGTCTAGTAGGGAATCAGGAGAGACATGGTTGAGAAATGGCTGCTGAATTTTGCTTATGAAATGTCTTGTTCATGCTTGTAAGGTTCTTTTATGTGCTATAAATAAATGACATGGGACCACCGGCTTTACTTCCCCTTCGAAGGAAGTTGTGCTAAGGATTTTTATTACTCTTAAAAATTCATCTACCTCAGCTAGGTTTCAACTTGCGAACCTTGGGTCCAGTGGCATGCACACTAACCACTAGTCCACCGAGGGCAACATTTATAACATTATATCTTGCATATATTTTGTGGCAGGCTGCATTACTTTTATGGTACAGTTTATTGTTGAATTTTAAATAATTCAAAAGATTCATGGCTTAGACCTCTGAAACAGCTAGTAAATACTGTAGGAAGAATATTTACCTGCTACACATAGGGCAGAGTCTTTCAGCCATGCATAAATATTGCATTGGCTTCCAACTTTGTAGCTGATGTGCTGCTGTGACATTGATATTGCAGCAACATCACAGACTGAATAGGATTTGAGGTTTCATAGTGGTGAGTATGAAGATGCCATTTTCATCAGAGTGAAGTATAATTATGTACATTGTGTGAGATACTGAAAAATGTTTCCCATTGGCTCTGGTACATTCTTCACACCTTCTAAATAGGTTGTGACTTACATACTTACACTCTAGATGCATGGGACACATCAATTTGATTGATTTCTCTGAGTAGTTGTTTTGTGTATGGATTTCTTTGATAGTCTTTATTTTTTAAATATCCTACAAGAAGGTATATGGCTACTAAATTATGTGACTGTAAAGAGTGCACATGAATGGTTTTATAAGGGAATAGTTTCAGTAATTTTGTAGTGGGTCTCTTGGTCCAACGATTATGTGTTCCAAAAATATAATATGTTAGGATTTCATTGTAATACCATTTGGGGTCAGTGGGACAAAGAATTTTATTGTGTGAAAGATACTGTTAAATAATTCTTTGTAACGTGCATAATTATTATTAATTTTCAATATCATTATCATCATAATCATAATCAGTATTACTTCCATAATTAAGATCAAAATTGTGCCTAATAGTTTTGATTAATTGAAAATAGATAATCATTCTCTCTCATCAAGACTTGGAGCACTAGAGAGAGAATATCAGAGAGTGCAGAAATCTATCAACAGAAGTAAGAAGGCAAAAGACATAGATCTACTTCTGAATGAAAATGAAAACCTGCAAGGAAAACTGGAAGCTCAAGAGGATGACTTTCGTCTACAAAATCAGACCTTGCTTCAGGAACTTTCTGCTGTAAGTGAGGCAATTTCTTCCAGAATTTATTATGACACCTATTTTCTGTGGTCTTCCACTTTACATTTACACTTTCAATTTATAGAGATGTGGTATGAAACAGGTTTACATAAAGTGACAAACATGATTTGACAGTCATGCACAAATTCAATAAGATATTAAGTACATTCAGTGACGTAGAAAACTCATTCAATAAGCAGTTTTGTTGCAACAGACTTCCATCATTTTATATACAGATTTATAGTATAATAACCCAGTTTGTATTATCACGATAATGATTGTTACTACTACTACTTTTCCATCAGTTTATATATAAAACTGGTGACAAGAAGACTTGGGACATGTTATTTATATTAATACATTTTTCTGTAGGGAATACATCATGTTACAATATTTTGCATTCTCTGTATTGAATGTCTGGTTTATTTAACAGTTAATTGCAGCAAATGAAAAACTTGAACAAGAGTTAGCTGTATTGAGAAGACTAGAAGATGGAACATGCATCACAGAAAATTTGATGAAGATGGAGAATGAGGTATGATAATATACAAACGAGGAATTCTGGGAATAAATTATGATTCTTAGTTTCCGTAAATTATTCATCATATGTGATTAAAGCTGCAGAAATTGTAAATTAATACTATCAGTGATACATTTTTGTGCATATGCTGCAGGTTTGTGGCTTTAGAGGTACACCATATATAATAAAAAGTGATAACTTATTCTTGATAATATTATGACTTTTGTTGAACACAGGGACAACATTTGCAAACAGAGAGAATGGTCTCAACAAAATTTCTAGTGGAGGAACATTTAAAGGTGGAGAAAGAACTGGGAGAACTGAGAGAATTTATCCAGTCATTCAGCACTGCAGACAGCCAACAAAATGAAGCAGATTCTGAGCAGGGTGATAGGTGAGTGTAAATATCTACTACAGTTAATCTTGTCACTTATTTATCAGGGGTATTTGTTTCTTCATTTATTTAAAAATACTTTTTCAACTGCATAGGGTAATAAGAGAGGTTGGTTATAAATGATTTATGTGCAAGGATGTAGAAAAAAGTGGTAGTAATCTATTTCAAATGTACTGTCCAAGCATTTTCCTGGAGAATTGATAAAAATAATGAAAAGTCTGTAAGATATCTGCCTTGAGTAAAGAATTGACCCCTAGAAGTTCTTGAATATGTAGTGAGAGTCTTAATCACTTTATCATGATATTATTAAAAGCTATATCTTTCTTTCTGTCTGTCCATCCCTCATTTTTTAATGGTGGTATAAATCTTAATTTCTGAAACAGACTTTTAATATATGTTAGAACATACTGTAGGAATTTAAGATGTCTCAGAAGTTAATTTATTCAGATTTTCATGTTATCTGATAACCCTTACCACTCATAAATAAAGAAATTAAGTATTTTCTTTTCATGGACTGTGTCAGTCAGAGAAATTACTGTTTTTATTATGTGATTGTAAGTTGACATTCATCTTTCATTGAAACATTTTTGGAAATATGGCAGGCAAATATTTTTGTCACAAGAAAAGAAGAACGTCAGATTTATAAGGGACTAGGGCACCCAGAAAATTGTGAGTGTTCAGATGCCACCATTCTGGGCAGTAGCAGTATAAACCTTATTTAATGAAACTGTCTTTGTCCCTAAAAGCCAACTCCTGAATGTTAGGTGCAAAATTAGCCACCAGCTGAAGTTTTCCAGTTATCACATGTGACCAGGTGATCATCATTTTTTAGCCCTTTATGGCAGTGAACGTATCAGAGGGAATGCATTGTGTATCAGAGTGAGCTTTTTAGCAGGGGCGTGACTTGTTAAACCGTAAGATTGTTAATATGCTGTAGTTTACTATTTTTATTTTTTTGATATTAAATAATAGCTAAGAAATAGGTTATGGCATTTTGAAACATAATGAAATTTCCAAGCATATTGTCTCCTGGTCAGCATGTTGAGAACAAGGTATCTTTTTTAATTTTTTTTACATAAAGTGAATGAAATGTTAGTTAATTTTTGAAGAAAATTGATTCATTTATAATCTTATTTGTTCACATGCTTGTAGTGTATCAAGTGGCAAAGACGATTTTGTTCAAGTGGGCAAAACAGATGTCACATACCAGAAGCGAGACACATCAGAAATAGATTTTTTTAAACCGGTTGAGCAGAAACTTCAGTATTTGGAAGCACACCTGAAGAACTTATCAGGTAAATTAATAATTCATGTTTTATTGAAGTTTAAATCTTTGTGACAGTGTAGAAACTTTTCCTTAATTAGTTTTTACAATAATTAATGTTCCAGAAAGATGAAATGTAGATAAAATATAATTTCTTATATAATTCATGTTGCAGTGAATAGTGTTTCAGAAAGCCAACTGTTCTGTTCAAGGTATGTTATTTATTTAAAACGGCGCAAACATTTTTCATGAATGGAGTAAGTCTGCCTTGTCATTGATATAAATCATCTTCTAAAATCTGCTTGTTGATAGTGATGTGTTGTTACAAAAACTACAGTAACTTCATCAATAGAAGAGGAATTGTGAGTCCTTACTCATAGAAGTTATACATTTTTGTTTGTATGAAGCCTGATATTCTGTAGATCAGCGTTTCTCAACCTATGGTACGAGCACCACTGGTGGTATGTGAGCCAATGTCGAGTGGTACGCAAACTAAGTAAGACAATCAAAAGATAATATTAACGTAAATAAGATTTCCTTGAACGCATTTGGTTAGTGGTACATTTAATGTGTTAAATTAGAATTAGTGGTACACCAGCGAAAAAGGGTGAGAACCCCTGCTGTAGATCAACGTGACATACCCTGTTCTACACACAGTATGAGCAGAGTTCATGTGTAACAGTGGTGCAACCTCACCACACAGAATGTTATTTGTCTGGTGAATTCCCTGAATTAATGTCCTGCTGCATAAGCCAAGCCATAACAAGCTGAGGCAGAATCATTACTATGGAGTGCAGATGCCAAGTAAATTGATGTGAACAATAGAGAGTTCACAGTTTTATTCTGAAAGTACCTGATTCAGGTTTGTTCTTCTATCATGACAGTAATGTTTTTCATAGTAACTTTTACCTCCTTGCTATTGCTTTCACCTGTAAACTTATATGGTAACACTGACAGCTTTATCAAGTCTCCGTACGAGTTGTAGTTAGTTTTCAGTACAAAGTGGGAACCTTCCACCTAGTGTTTGTTCAGTTCTCTTGTTGGGTTTGCGTTGAAGTCAGCCTGACATGCAGTACTGTATATCATCACAGAGCAAGTTCTACTTTTTCAGATGTTTTGATGTGTTTGGAGGCTGAAAAACAGGGAAAAAAGGAGGTTCAGTTTGAAGTGAAACAACTGCAAGACAAATTGCTTAGAAAACAGGAGGCTCTTGTACAGCTGCAAGAAGAGAAAGAAAAGTTATACGCAGAAAGCAGGTAAAGCAAAACATTCAGTGTTGCTTGATTAGTATTTGTAATGCTTAATATAAAATGTATATTTATGAAACTTCGGTATATCCTTCATGGCTGAAGATGGAGACTATTTTTTTCTGAAATGTTGGTATCTACCTACAAGTCCACATAGCATCACAACCCAGAAGAATAACATTGAAATGGCCAACTCTCTAGAATAGAGTATTGTGGGTGCAATGAACTTCCAGACATTGTGTGTATTGAGATCTTAAACTTCTGTTAATGTTCTGCCCTCTGTTGATGCAAGTATCAGTAATTTTTGCAATTGCAGTTAGACAAGAGATATGTATGTACTCACTCACATGCAAAAACATGTAGCTTAACCGTTTCAGGTATTATGTTGGATTTAGTCTGATATTCATCTTTCAGACTCTGACTGACATTTGGAAACTCATGTTCTTTTCTGATGTCATACTGAGTTTGACTATTTTGAAATTCAAACAGAGTAATGTGGATTTGGTGAGGTATCTGTTAAACTATTTGACTCTTAGTGAGTTAACATTCTTATATAAGATTTGAGGTTTTCACAGCGGTGAGTATGAAGATTTCTGTCTTCTGGGTTGTTGCGCTGTGAATATTCATCGCCCTGATGACGGAGGCAGTATGACCTCTGAAACGTTGGTTAACATCGACCAAACTACGAGGTGCGTCCTCAAAGTAAGTTTCCCTGGGGCCGTTTACAGAAACAAAACACAATTTCATGGAAATATTTATTGCAACAGTTACAGCAAGTGTCCAGCTATTTTTCAACATATTCGCCACCGGAATTGAGACATTTGTCATACCGTGGGACCAACTTTTGAATACCTGTGTCGTAGAAGTCGGCCGCCTGGGATTGGAACCACTGTGTGACAACCATCTCCGCCTCTCTGTCATTCTCAAAACGCTGACGCTGACCGGACAGGAATTTCTTGAGGTGTAGGAAAAGATGGAAATCACTGGGAGCGAGGTCCGGGCTGGAGGGTGAATGATTAAACACCTCCCAGCTGAACTCCTGCAGGAGACTTGCTGTCCGTCGAACCGTGTGCGGCCTAGCGTTATCACTGACCGCACTTCACAGTCGGCGGGAGCTGGAATAAGAACCGCCATCTTCAACAGCTGCAACGATGCTACTGTGAGAACGCGGGAAGCCAGAAGACAGAAATCTTCATACTCATCGCCCTGATGACGGAGGCAGTATGACCTCTGAAACGTTGGTTAACATCGACCAGACTACACAGCGCAACAACCCAGAAGACAGAAATCTTAACATTCTTATCTTCTATCTTCTGTAGGAAAGCTTATGAGGAACTACAAGCAGGAAAGGAACAGGAAATAGTTACATTAAAGGACCAAAATCAGAGGTTACATGTCCAGTTGAACAACACTCAGCTTTCTCAGCAAGATTTTAAGGAAAAGTCATCTCAGCATATTCAAGAACTCGAATCTCGTGTCTCTTTACTGACAAGAAAGGTAATGTCCTTTGCAGTGATTAGCTTAAGAATTGACATGTAACTCTTTTTAGCAGTTAGATAAGATAAATACCTTTCATGTACTGTGGCTCGGGATGTGATCTAAATATGACTGTGGCTCGTATAGAGCTACATGTTTCTTTATGATTTTCCCTTCTGCCATTAACTTATTATAGCTGAAATACACAATGAGGACAATACTTCTGTCTCCCCTTTTTCCAGAATGAAAGTACGTCTGAAGAATGTCTTTTGGAGCTTCGTGCTAAAGTAATAGAGTTAGAATGCGTGTTAAGCGATTCAAGAGAAAAGTTGAGCATTCTCCAGCAGGAGAAGTCTCATCTTGAAACTCATTTGTCAGATGCTCAGGAAAAGTTACGTCAGGCACAGACATTAACAAGTGCTTTGGAGGGAGAAAAAGTGCAGCTTGCAAGTGCATTGGATGAAGTCCGCCTCGTAAGTAGCCATAACGAGTAGTTTAACAAATGTATGATGCTCATTATGTATAATTATCCAAACACTGACTCCTCACATGCGATCTTTGTCGTATATCTTGACTCAAGGGTGACGGGTGAGGGAACAGTACCATTCAATAACAATTACAATTATAATAAAGTGAATTAAGCTGGTTTTTGCACAGTAGAAAAAACAATGTTAAGTTGCATATATGTGGAAACTATTTCCTTTCTTGAAAGTAGTAGACTTTTGCCAGACAGTGTTAATATAAGAATTCATTGCTATGAAGTATGAAAACTTTACTACTTAACTATAATTACAGTTGGCACAGAAGAGAAAGAATCTTATGGATGAAATGTCTATACGAATCCAACAAAAAAGTGATGATTATAAATATCAGATGTCAAATCTCACAGATGAATTCAGTAAGAGAGAAGAGGAATTGAAGAAGCAAATTAAATCATTGCAGGTAATGTTACATTAATTGTACACAAGATACAGGTACAGTGAAAGTCAGGAATAATTTTGTAGAAAATGTCCACTGACCCATGAAAGGAATATGGTTTTTTAGGAACACTGGAAAATTGGATTTATTTATACTTTTTAAGTAACATTCAAATAAAGATAATTTTATTGAAAAATGGTAGTATATCAGAAGGTCCCCTTTTCTTAAATACTAAAACTAATTTCTATTTTTTTTTATTATACTGGCAAGTATTTATGCAAATTAGTAGAACTTTATTTATTAACATTTTGTGTTCTTCATCTATCATTGCTTATGCCCTCTGGCCTTTTCTGATTCAGAATTCTGAAAACTGTGGATATTTGAATTTTACTATGACTCCTGAAAGGGGATAGAACAGTTACTTTAAGTTTTTCTGTTTACAGAACTCGTTTTATTATACATAGAAAATGTTAAGCACTTACATGTTTTGATGCCTGCATCATCATCAGCAGCAGCATTTATATTGCTCAAATATTTGCCAGTATGTGTGTTTACATAATTCATTACAAAAATTCAATTTATTGGTTTATTATATTAAAAACATCACAAATGGAACAAATTTCATGACATGTGAACATTCTTTATCACATATTGGATTTATTACAGCTGTTGCTTAGCTGTGGTTGTACTACTTTTACTACTACTACTAATAAAAACAAGAACGGTCTATCATTTTCACCAGTTGCGAGCAGTAAGAAAATTATAATTTAGGATTCAGTCTAATGACCATCTATGTGTGAGCCTAACACTCTAACCCTTTAGCTAAATTGAATTTTATTATTGGATTATAAACTTTTATTACCCCAATTAAAACATATTTTTTTAACCCATATGTACAGTACTAAATTTTTTTCACTCCATTCATGAAAGACTATTTTGGATTAAGAATATGAAATTTAAGATATCAATTGTTGTTTTTTTCATACAGTAGTTTATTTCCTTATCCAGGCTGAAGTAGAGAAGCTGTCCCCATTGCAGAGTCAGTTAGATGATGCCCTAATTCAAGTCAAGTCACTAGAAGCAATGAGAGGACGGTTAGAGCGCCACCAGAAAGAAGCAGAAGACACTACTGAATCAAATCGAACATATTATGAAAGTGTGATTCAGCGTTTGAAAACTGAACATAATGAAGAACTTAGTGAGATGAAACTTTTGTATGAAAATCATGAAAAGGTAATGTTTACTTGTTGTGTTTGGTAATTTTGTCCATATTCTCACCAAATGTGTATTTCTTTCTATTCATATTTACAGTGTTGTAGTCAGATGACAAAATATATAATTCGTAAATTGTCCTATATGATTGATAGAAGAGTAAGTCATGATTTTTCATAAGGAGATTTGATTAAGACTACTGGTTGAACCATTAATTACAGATCTGAGATAATAACTTATGAGAATAACCAGTTTTTATTTGATACAAAAATAATATTAGGTGTTTGGTTCCATGGCTCAAGTTAGACGCAATCAAAATGTTCATGCTGTGTCTGTATTAAGTTGTTACAGGAAGAGATGGCATCTATACAGAATGAGAGAGAGAAAAGGGATGAAGCAGTGAGTAGGCTGGAACAGCATCTGCGTGATGCCGTAGAAGAGAAACAGTTGGCTGAAAGGAAAGGGGCTGCAGTAATGAAGGATTTACGACGACAGCTAGCAGCCGAGCGTAAACGAGCAGAGAAGTTACAAGAACGTGTGCATGATCTTCTGAATGAGGGAACACATGTTAAGACAGGTAACTTCCCTATTTATTTGGGCTGTGAAAGAAGTGGGGGGGAAATGTTATTTTAGTGCATGACTTCATTCATGTGTGAAATCTATTCAGGAAGTAACATGTGTAACTTGTTAGAAAATGTGCTTAGAAATGTGATAACATAGTAAGTGTTGGAATTATTAAATATTTAACACCCATAATTTTTATGTACCTTCTGGACTGTCATAACAAACAATTTGTCTTCATCTTCTTCTCGAACTAGTTGGATTTTAGACTTGCAAACCCTGTTCCATCAACCATGAACTGTCATCCAAGAGTATATCATTCCATCTGTTTGTGGTGGTGACCTGTATTTCTTTTTCTATTTTGTTTATATTACAGTGCCATCTTTGTCAGTCTATTTCTTTGCAATTTTTCTACATTTTTTTTCCAATTTTCAGGATAATCATATGTCTTCCATATTTTGAATTTGCGATCTATCCCTTGTATCTGGTCTAATTTTGTGAATCCCAACGGTGGAAAATGTTTCATCTGTGTAGCTTCCAAACATTAGTTGACACATGTATTCAAAATCCACATTTCACTACCATATCTTACTGTTGCCTTCAATTAAAAAAATTATTCGTAAATATTCAGTTTTTGTTCTTAAACCTGATATATGTTATTTTTTTCAGAAGTTAATTTCTTATTGTATACTTAACATAGTAGTCTGAATACAATTAAATGTCTTCTGTCCAAAGTTAACATAATGAAATGAAGTAATTGACACTGAATTCTCATTTCATTGTAGATAACTTCTGGAAATTTTAAATAGATTAAAATAAATGAAGTCTAATTTTAATAGAATACATTTTGTATATGTTGAATTTAATAATTTAATATTACAGATATTAACAAAAGTCATGATCCTGAAACCAGTTCTATTTCTTCATGGAGTCTGATGAGTGGTAATTGTGAACCTCGGGAATCAAGTACACGTGAGAATAGTTTAGTCACAGGTTCCGTCACTAACGTCAATGGCAATGTAAGATGATTTTCTTAAGATTAGTTCCTTTGTCTGTGTGTATACTCTCTTTTAGTTGTATATATTTTTTTTTTAAGCAGTTGCCCGAAAGGAAATTTTTATTTAAGAAATTAATCTCAGATTTGATATAATAAGCTTGAGACCTTAAGTACACATACTAGTATGTTACAGAGTTCTTAACAGATGACCTTACTTCTCAAGATGTTTTTCTTGGGCCTTTGTCAGATATATGTAAATTTTTGCTTCTGAATTACCCCATGTTTGCTTTCCAACTTCATGTGTTAAACAACTTATGAATAATTCAGTAACTCAAGAGCAGGAGCATAACTTGCAAAGCTCATCACAGCTTCTGTTGTTGAAGCTGTCACCACCACCCGAAGATCAGGATTTGGAGCAGGAGAACTACAGGTTGCTGTCAAGGATCACTTCTCTGCAACAGGAAAAGTGGGTTCTGGAAGAAAAAATAAACCATCTAGAACAATGCAGTGCTGCTATGGCTGAGGACCTGATGCACAAGACAGCTCTTATCCAGTTTTATTGTATTGAGGGAAGATCAGGTTTGTTTCATAGCTGCTGTAATTGGTAACAGTGATTTTATTCCTTTGCAGTTAAGGTTTTATTTCACTAACTCTCTTAACTATGTTGTATGCTTTAGTGAGATGTTTTTAAGATACAGTTTTACAGCTCTCATTTACTACACATTTTTTAATACCCACACACTTTTCCCTTAAAAATGTGATGAGACAAGCTCAGTGGTATGTAGGATGAAACTGGGATGGAAAAAACCTCAGGATAGGTAGTTCCAGCTAGAATTTGAACTACAAAGCTCCCAAATATCATGTCAGTAGTTTCTTCTTCTTCTTCTATGGCTCTCTGGTCCGTATTTGGTCCACGGCGTCCTCAATTCTCCTCTTCCATTCGACCCTATTGTTAGGTCCATTCTCTCCGAGGCTTTGATTGAGGTTTCGAAACATCTTCGGTGCAAGGTTGACAGCCTTGCAAACAACGCCCAACCTGTAGGACCAGGGTACCTGTCCTAGTCTTGTCCTCTCCCGCTCGACCAACCCTACCAGTAGCTATGCTACCGCCAGCATAGATCTTGGGGTCACTGAGGTACTCAAGCCCCACCACCACGAGAAGGTGCAGGTACCATTGAGTGGGGTGACTGTAGTTTCATTACATAGGATTCCATACATAAATAATAATGAAAATAAACTGAATTAGAGCAGATTAACAAGCTAAAATACATTAATGTGTTTCACAGATACAAAAGACCACCAAGTGGTATAAGAAAAAGATTCCTCCCAATTTGGTACCTTCCTTATTTTTTCTAAAGATTGCAGCTTTTTTTATTGACAATAATTTGCTTAAGACATTAAGGAGATAGGACATTCTTCATTATTACTATGACATACATGAATGAGTGGGCCATGTTGTCATGGAGTTTTGTTTGTGAAGATATGTTCTCCTTATAAAAGCAAATATAAACATTTTTCAGATCCAGCAACCACATCAACATCATCACCTTCAAGTGAGAGGTTATCAATGAAGAAATTTGTTGAAATGTTGAAGGGAGATGAACACGTACATGAATCAAACCGAAGGATGCAGCGAATGCTAGAAGAGATGCTAACCAAGAATATGCACTTACAGAGTGATCTGGAACAGCTCTCATTGGAAGTGGTTAGGCTTAGTAAGGGGGCCGACTGTAATACATGTACGTGAGGGTATTACTATAGAAATGTATTACTCTGTGCTAGCGGAAATATGCATTTTGGGAATGCAAGTGTCTCCTCTTAACGTTGTTGACTGTCATCTTTCCGACAGGATGATTATTAATATGATCAGCATTACTTTGTGCACACTATGTCATGCCTATATATGTGACACCTATGATAACACGATCGATTTACTCCCCACTGAAAAATGCGTTATTACACTGTATTGATTAAAAATTTTGAAAAATGTATAAGTTTGTGAATTATCTGTCTAGTGTGTCAGATAGGGGTCCGCAGTGGCCACGCGGTCTGAGGTGTGGGCGTTATGCCGCTGGGACCGTGGGTTCGAATCCCACTAAAGCCATGGATGTCTGTCTGTGTTTTTCTATGTTGTGTTGTCCTGTGTACAGGTAGAGGCCTTGCGATGGGCTGATCCCTCGTCCAAGGAGCCCTACCGAATGTCTATACATCAAGCCAACGAAAAGTTGGGACCCACATTGCTCAGGCACTTGAAGAACGGGTCATTCCCAGTATCCCAGTGTGTCAGATAGTAATTAATAATTTGTATTCAGATATGGTCATTTCAGATATGAGTGGTTTGCATTATAACATTTTGACTTCATTGGAAGAAATTCTTTATATGCTAAGCCTTTACACAATTGAGCCCATGAAATTGTAACTGTTAAGGTATGGTACTTACTGGTCGAGTAGTTTATATTTATATAAATCAAAGAAGAGGCAGTGATAGACCAAATATGATATTATCGGAGTACCTTTTTTTGACCTTTAAAGAAGGAAGTAAAAAATTGCTTATGTGACCGATATCTGCCTTATGTACTGAGCTTCCAAATAAAAATATTTACATGATAAAGTTAATGGGTGCTTCTAATCATGAAACCCAAATGGTTAGAGGTCACTCTGAAAGATAGGTGCACATGGGGGGATAATATTAAAATTGACTGGTTTCATATGGCTCAAGATAGGGATCAGTGGTTGACTCTTGTGAACATGGTTGCAGACTGTCAGGTTTTACAACAGGCAGGGAATTTCTTGACTAGCTGAGTGACTATTAGCTTCTGAAGGACTTTGCTCCTTGGAGTCAGTTATAAAATATAAGAGGGACATCAATTATCAACATAAAATCTGATGACAGAAAATGAGTTTACAATTGAAAATTCCCTAAACTTATCACCTGATACAGTGTCATTAAATACATCAAGCAGTAATTTCAGCATTATGATATATTCAGTATAGATAGAATGTAGGGATATCCAAAACTCCACTGCTGTCATTCGTGTCAATCTCTTCAGACAGGTCAGATGCTTCTCATAATTTTATGTTGTAATTTATTTTTGTTTTCTTGTCTCTTTATTGTTATGTTTTAGTCTTCAAGCAAAATTTTTGTGATGTAACGTACATTGAAATTAATCCATTACTTCCCGTTGTTATATCTCAGATTTTATGTCCACTTATTATGGTGTCACAGACAAAGAAAGAAAGGCCATGCAAATAGGATTATTTCGTATACATTTTACAAGAAGTGAATCTATTCTGTCTTATATTATATTGTATCAAGTACCTAAGCTTGTCATATGCTTGAAGTTGTGTAGAAAGAGTAATTCCTTCTAATTATATGTGTCAGCTCTTTCAGCGTGAAATTTAAATTTTAAAGCTAAAATGACAAAACTTTTTGGTTAAAAAAATAATTTGCAAAATTAATGTTTCCATGGTAATGCATATCTTCATGGAAATCATAAGAAGTTGGCTTGAAGTGTTCAGAGACTTTAGAATAATATATTTTTCCAGTTATCATCAAACTCTAATGATGTACATAGCAGGAAGAAGTAGAATTGTTCAGTTAAAAATCTCGTTTGTAGTGTGGAAACGCTTAAAGAATACAGAATAGGGAATTCTTCTCATTGCAGTCTCTGCCGTGAAGAATAGACAGTACTCAGTTCAACTTTATTAGTTACCAGTCTGTTTAATATAAGAATATAAATTGTGCAGATTCCACATGTAACTTATAATCTAGCATTTACTAATCCTAAACACTCACATACCATAATTCATACTGAGGACTAGAAACAAGTGTAATAAAATAAAGATTTATATTCATGCTTCACTGGAGATGAAACATTTATTCATGAATGAATTTCTGTTTGTAAGTATTGATATATCTGTACATCTTCCTGTTATCAATGTTTTATTCAGTGAAGATTAAATGTAATATTTTTAAGTATTTGTGTATGTTTTGACATTGTGATCCATTATAAATCTTAATGTATTTCAACATTTTGGTACAATTTATGATACATTTGTGAGTTCTAAGGTTTTCATGGTGGTGACGATGTTGGCGATGTTCTTTTGGATCGGGCACCATGTGGACTGGCTAATAGATGCCAGCATTTTGGAGAAGGGTACTGTCTTCATCTTCAGGACTGAAGTCCTTCCTTCAACCCTGAAGGTGGAGATAGTGCTCTTCTCTGAAATGTTGGCATCTGCCAGTCAGCCCACACGGTGCCAGAATGCAAACATAATCAACACGATATATTTGGTTATGTATATTTATTGATGTAGTGTAATTTTTATAATATATTGTAACAGAATTTTTTTTAAATTATTGTAATTTTTACTGTGCTTGTGCAAAGTTTTTAGGGTTGTGCAGAATATTCTTGTAAATATATATCAGCATTGTAATTAAGTTACATGCTTCTGTCCCCTCTTGACTGTCAGACAGGGAGAACCATCTTCAGCTGAGAACCAGGAACCTGATATGTCCTGATGTGAGCCTGGAATGACCCAGGCCGAGTTAAGTTGATGAAATCCACCGAAATTATTCATGCTGACTGTAAGTATTTGGCTTTGGTTTTTCTTTGTAATGAGTAAGGTTGCTTAGTGAGGAACAACCAAATAATGTGTATTTTTGTATGAATCGTTAGTTAAGTGTAGTTCTGCTAGAAAGTGTAAGAGAAGTGATAAACCGTAAACTGCCTGAGGTCAGAATTCCAAACACAACATGTGTCTGTAAGTATATTAATAAAAAGGTGTGCTGGACAAGAAATGAGAAAATATGCCGTGTGCTTACTGAAGAGGAAGTGAACAAAATTGGGGCTAGACTAGAATATTGACAATGAAGGTTCAGTTCCTGGCAGGGGCAGGGATTTGTCTCTGCCACCGCATCCATACCAGTTCTGGGGACCATTCTCCTCTACTTTCCACCTAATGGTAAAGTGGCCAGGGTGTGAAGCAAACATCTCTCATCTAGTACTGTAGTTAAGAATGTGGAGTTACACCTCCTCTCTCTCCCACACATATCAGCATGGTGTGGTGGTTAATTGTGTACCAGAGACTATTTTACTTTTACCTTATTTAAGTAAGGTGCCTTCGTTTTTAAGTGGGAATTCTAGACTTGTACTGGAATTAACTGGTAGTGCTTAGACAAAGGCAAGCTGACACTGTGTGATAGTTAGGAAGTGACAGAAGTATTTTGTAGCAGGAGTATTATTAATATTAAGAATTTTGTTGTTTTCAGTGTGTATGTCTGTCTTGAGAGTTTGTGGTGACCAAAAAGAAGCTCAGTTTGCAATGGCTGAGCATAGCCACCACAAACGTGACAATGTTACATAACATTTCAGTAATGTGTATGCATCAGTGCCATGTAATACGGTTAGACATGGCCGCATTGTCAGATTGTTAATATACTAGTAGGTGATGGCATACCTGAAATATTAGTGTAATGTACATTGTTGTGAATCTTACATTAAATGATTAGTTACAATATTTATTTCAGTTTGCAACAAAACAATGTAATTTGAAAAGATATATAACTTATGCTATAGCTTGGAATCAGGAAAAGTAGGTGGTTTTTCTGCACCCATGTGATGGACGCAGAAGAAGTCACCTTTACTTAATCGGTCCTTTGCAGATGCTGAATTTGACACACCGTGTCAGACACGTGTTAATATTCCTTTGAAAATTGTTATGTCGTCAAGCCGAAGGGAAGAATAATAACAATTTAGTGTTTTGCTTGATAAATAGGATCTTTGTAACCTAGCAGGTGATATGTGCTATGGATAACCTGTGCCTTGATTCATTATTGTTTTGGACGAATCACTGATTCGTTGACTCAAAAAGCCGGATAGATGTGTAACACTTTCCAATTAATAAAGTGTGGATTTCCAAAAAAATCAATCATTTGTTGAAAAATTGTGCATGGGACTTAAGCTGCACAGCATATACGAAATCATTAAGAAACAATGTCCTGTTAAATCCGTATTTTGTAATAAATGGAACTAGAATTGAGAACAAGTGTTTACAAAGTAATTCAGTTTGCCTGAGATCATCGATTAATTGTACGGAACGATTCTTTAGAATGATCCATTCATTCACTATACATATCGACCACAGGTTATCAACTTTCTTTACAGTTTAAAGCAACACCGAATGTTCGCCATATATTACTGACGACATTCTGTGTTACTAGTTGTAAGGAAATACTTCATATTTCATCGTGCTGTTCGAATGACGATAACTTCATATAGTCAATCCTATTATATCTGTGCATTTTGTTTTCCATACGAATCCTATTTAAAAGAGAACTAACTGCAGACTTCTTTGTCGGAAACATGTGAGTGCGATTGTGTGTTCCGATGGTTTCCGTAACGAGGATTCTGTAAGATTTATGGACAAGGCGGTGAGATGAGTCTTGTGGTATCTGTTCGTCGTCTCTGGGTTGAGAATTTACAACATTCAACAGCAAAGGAAATCACACTACTCGTTACTGTACGTGATTTGTGAGTACTCTGCATTCTTTCCATTAGGTTACAGCAGTGTTCCGCAACCGAAGCACCGCAAATGTTATGTAAGAAAATCCTTATTCGCAACATCGTATCTTTTGTAATTAGAATTATTAATCCACACACCTACCCAAATTGCTTCATCGTCGACAGTTAATCTAGCATGGAAAATGTTTTGTTCTCATGCCTGCATTATTGTAGAGGGAGTATTCATATATGGGTACATATTTATGGCCATGTTGTAAGGCGACATTTTTTGTGTATGCTATCACGTGTCTGACAAATTAGGGTGTCCTCCAGGTGAAAAGATGTTGCGGAACACTGGGTTAGAGGGAAGACTAAGTTATGTTTTTTTAACTCAATTAATGTTTGACTTACTTTATCTCTTAATTGCGTTACGGTTAGATACTATACTTCAGCTCGCTGTGGTAGGTTGAGGTCTAGTCATGTGATTCACATCCCCTGCTTCTTAGTACGAGTTGAGGTTTTCACGGCGGTGGGCCCGAAGGGCTGTCTTCTCAGTTGTAGTGTGGCAGTCGTTTACCTTCTTCCCAATCTTGTTATTTTGAATATTGACATATTACTGGCTGTGCTAAGAAGTTTTAGAGGCGTATTAAATCCTATTTTACAATTTCGTTTTCTTGGGCCATTTTTGAACTAATGTGATCCAAGGCCATTGTTGAAAAACGTTACCCCTAGGTACTGTTGCACAGCATTGTGTTCCAGCAATGACCTCTCTTTCCATTGCTTCTGAACAATCGGTTCCGGAAGTAGGGTCTCAGTACCACTGTGGCGAAAATCGCAACAGACATGCGCGGGACCATAGGATCTTCTTCGCTCACGCTAGAGATTGAATAACACCAAATAAACTACATTCCTCCGTCTGAGTACTGTGATTGTAATGTGACTGCAAGCTCTCGTTGTCCGCCGACTCTGAATACGACATTTTTCACATCCCTGTTACTTTTTAATACCATATATATCCGTTCTTGGTTTCCTTAATCTCTAGATGTTTCAGTCATCTAGCGTTCGTAAATGACACAAAGCTTCACGCTACATACAGCTTTCCCATTATTTTGCAAGACACGAAGAAGTTAAAATATTATCTCCGTAATATTTAATTCTTAGCAATGCATATCTTAGTTGGTCGTATGACTGAACAGTAACATGGCAGCTTTTAATTCCTTAGTATCAGAAAATGAAAATTACACCACAAATATTGTACACTTGCGCGAGTAACAATAAAATAATTACATAATGCTACTTGGTACAAATAAAATGTAATCAGTTAATAATACAACAAAGCAATGCTTATTCTGATATTAAAAACACTTGGATAATACTTAACGTTTCTTAGACTTGTTGCATATTTCACTGGAATTTCATGCACGTGAGCATCAATATTGTTTTATGTAGGGTTTGAGGTTTTCACGGCAGTGAATTTACCGACGATGGATGCAGCGAGGTCCTCTGAAACCTCGGTAAAATTCTACCATACTACACAGCGCAACAACTCGGAAGACAGCCATCTTCATCATTATTTTATGACAGTTTCCATATGGATAGCTTAGTGCTTTTTATTTAATGTGCCTCAAATACACTTCCCTGCATTGCATCCAAGTTATACATTGCAATTTAAAAGCAAATCCATCTTGTAATGGATAATACAAGATATTTAAACATGCTCGTAAGTGGAAATCCCGCGGTCCTGGCCAATTGTGACGTTCTGAAACAGACTCATTCACGTTAATTCGGAGGAAGCATTATAATTCTAGTGCACTGTATATATCCTGTTATCAAACGTTACCGAATGGTTTTAACTCAGTAACACAAACACCTTATGATATACTTACTTTAAATTAATATTAGTAATAGAATAATTTTTCTGGTAGCCAGTATACGAAAAAAAAATTGGTAATGAAAACAGGAACTTGAGAATAGAAGGCTATTTCATATGCTGCTGCATTACCATCCAAAATTTCTCATAAATCTAAAAGCTGTGTTTGTCATACACAGTAGTTCATTCAAAAAAAAGCATTCTCACATTCAAAAGTTACATTTTCGTTTAATTTTTAAACTAGTCATTACAGAAAGAGTCACACAACTCTTAGACTCTTTGAAACAATAATGGGCCATCAATATGTGAGCACATTGAGTTTCGTTTGTTACGGCAAGTGTCGGGGAAAAAGAGCAAATTTATATTCTTCTTCACTGCCTTAGAAACCATTTAACCAGAATGTGTATGGCAAATGTCGTTAAGCGTATACAGGATGAACACAAATGATCTTAGTAGTATCAAATATTTATTTAACAATAACTAAATGGCATACAGAAATGAACCTCACAGAACTGGAAGAATGAGAAATGTTTTGTACGACACGAAAGAAACGATGTAATTCAAACATCGCATTGCTCAGAAGAGTTGCTTACCGACTGTAGAAAGACTGATATCATTTACTATAATAATAACTTCCTGTTGGTTTAACTCTGGGCTATGCAATTTTCAGTCACTTCAATTTTTCTATTTTTTATGCACAGAGTTCATATAAACCATGTCGAACTGTCGCGTGCACTGAAACAGCTTGGGGGTGGGGGGAGGGAAGTACCACAACCAATTAAGTGAAAAATTATGAACCATAGCAACATGAAAGTTCAGTTTATTATGTTTTCTAAACGTTCACAAAATCTATAAATGTATCAGTTGGAGTTCTGAATCTAATATAATGAATTTAATATAAATAAAATTAGAAAAATGAACTGTATTAAAATAAATTAAATCTGCCTTCATTTACGTACATCAAAGTCCAAAACAAATTGGGTCTCCCAAATTATGTTCGCATAGTTTTGTTTGAGTCTCATAGTAATGCTGCCTAGCCACATTTTATTCATCCAATACACAGCAAACTTCCCATTTAATGTTCATCAATTTAAGATCTTTTCTCACATAGCATTCAACTTCTATGATCACAGATCAATAACTTCAGTGTCAAATTTCTTACATTTAAGATTTTGCTCAATTTAGTGTCGATATTAACACCTTAAATTGGGATTTACCTATATTATGATGAGCAGATGTGGTGGAGCAGCAACTATCAGACGCAAAATTACTACGACATAACCAGAGGCAGAGAACAAAGGTTGCATCCAGACATCCCAAAACAAGTGACAGTATACACAAATTTATTTATACATTTTACTGTCAACTAATTAGGGAACGTGAATACAAATGCAAGAGAAGGAAGGATATTAACTCAGTGAGGGTCTCTACCTCAGGATACAAAAGACAAAGACCATAAAAGTAGTTTCACCATTCACAGACGCAATTCTAATTTCAGGTGTTAATCCACAAGTCTGTAGTTTTTGTAACTCCGTAATCAGGCAACGGCTCATTTCTTGCATATTTGTTTTCATGTTACTTACATATATTCAAGTTGTTCTTTCTTATGTTCATAGAATTAAATGTTTTGAATTATAATAGCCAACTCTGTACAGACACATATACTAATTAGCTTCTATGTACAGAACGTGAAAGACACACTCGCTTATATTATACATGTTATCCTGTGTAACTGAATTGGGAGTGCTAAACAACCGACAACTTTTATAAACTACGTCTGCTACTGTAACTCAAATATCACATATCCTGGACAAAATGGAGGGGGAAAAAACTGCGGGTTAATGACCGATAGATTTTTAGTACAATTAGTACCTGTCATGTCTTTCCACCGTTCATACCTCATTATCATGTGTTCATGCACAAGTGGATGGTTTCCTGTCTTTCACGAGGTTTACATATCCAGAGAAAAATGTCTCCACTTTCTCTGAAAGAATACCACTTCTGATTTTGTAAACATTTCCGATCTGAATGACATCTTAGGGTAGTTTAGGACTCACACCATCCTCTTTATTGCTGCAATTAATGCTCTTACATGATGAAAATACAAGCTGTGCTTTCATGAATTTTATTTTAACTTTATCTGTATGTCAATGTCAAACAGAGGGTCATCTAGTAAAAAACATCAGTACTTCGTGTTACAAAATGAAATAGTGAAACAGTCCACAAATCTCATCAGTTTTTTCACTGGTACAAAATGACTGTTATTATGCAGCAACAAAATGTTAAGTGTCTTGCAAAACAACTGAAATAAAGACTCAGATTTACATTTTTAACCCAACATGCTTTAGCTTAAAAAAAAATCTATAAATATTTGTTATATATAAAGGTGTGTGTATATGTATATATCATATATTTAAATTAACAAGTTTAAACAGCAAAAGATCTTGCGCTTTTAATTTGTGAGCCATATAATTTAAAGCTGATATATCTGCCTTCATATTTCATTACTGTACTAAAGAGAGAGATCTACAGATTACTTACTTTGTAAAAATATCTGTCAAAATTAAGTGTTCTGAAAATCTCTTTCTGAAGTAGGGATGTTACATTATGTACCATTCCACTATAGCATGTGCAAGGTGACATCAGCATTAATATTTATAGCCACTCGTTATTACACCAATAACATAATTTGAAAATACAGAAATATATTACTAAAAAGTTCACTTAAACGAACAAAATCACAAATATAAAAATGGGCTGGACCACATGATTATTATGGGCATGATATAGTTATTCACAGCAGTTTCAAACCTGTAGGAACTTGTCAAGAGCAATTCTACGTGATAATATACAGTTTATATGAAATCAGTATTGAAAAGTTATGGTACATGTCTCAGGGATTGTCAGTGACAGGAAACTTTTTTTTTTAAATCTAAGAAAGCCTAACAAACTTAACATTCTGGACACTGCTTCTCAAAAATATAAAAGTATCTGATTTGGTTGAATAATTATACTAAACATTAAATGTTAATTTTAAAGTACATACTCTCCTACAAAAATAACAGAATTATGCAGTTAACAAAGGTAAATAAATGTTATCTACTTAGACAATATTAAATTTCAACTATATTAAAGTTATACACACTCATACATCTCTACAAACCATTAATACATGGAGCAGCCCAGTTTCTGGATTCCACAGGTTAGAAACTGCAACATTCAAGTATTATGCGACATTAAAATTTATTTCTGGGTTCTGAACCATCAGACGCCATGCACTCAAATTACAGGAAGAAAAGAAATTCCTTCTTTAAGGAATAATATATTTAGAGCATGTCATCAAAGTTGAATGGCAATGCTTAGTCTGATGCAAATATCTGTACAGTTATAAATTCATTATAAGGCAACCATGTTGTAAGTTCAAATTTCATGTGAATGTTAATTATGAAATTCAAGAGATAAAATTAAAATGTTTTGTGTTGTCTGCATTAGCACTTACATTTCTCCTCTTTCAAACATGGTGTGTATTATTTAGTTTCAGATACCTCTCCATTATGCTGTAAAATCATGCATTCTATGGTATCAGAGAGAATGATCTTCCAGACTAAAAAATTTTCATCATCAGTTTAACCCTTTGATTTATAAATTTTCTTGCATCTCAAGGAGTGAGCCTTTTTCACATCTTTACAGTGTTGACAAACATAATCAAATATGACCCAGTGTATCATGTAATAATCAACAATCTCTATCTTAGGTGCAAAATTACAAATTGGTAACAACTACACAACTTTTCTGTAATATGATCTGCCACATAATCTTCAAGCTACTAGTGGCTCACTTTATTTTACTTTATAACCAAAAAAATGAAAAATTAACAGAATCTGAAATTAATATCACCAAACAATCAAAAACTAGCACTTCACAGATGATATAAAATCAATTAAATAGAAATGTGCATGTATGCTACCCAAAGCAGAGCATAGAATGTACATACACACATACATAGTCCGATTACTTCATTTTCAAATAAATGTGTGCATACTCATCAAAGGGTTAACAGTGTTTTTCAAAAACAACAATTTTGTAGTGTTTCACCATTCTAGGCCCAGAATATTTCAAATAATAGATTTTATTCAAAAATGTATGAGTACAGAAGATGATTTAATGCTCTTAATAATGTTTAACCAAATGGTAGGCCTAGATGCCAATTACAAGTGCACTTGAAAAAGCATTTGATCAGACATGACATGAGAATCTATATCCACTGAATCCAACACACACTTCACACCAAACTTCAGCTTAAGCTGCTAGAGTATCTACAGGTAGCAAGTGTCTATGATATTTGAGGTGAAAGCCACCGTTATAATTCCATATCTTGCGCTTCATCCTCACTGAAATCGGACATAGAAGACTCACTGTCTGAAGATACGCCTTGATTTTCTTGCTCCCGCAGGGCTTCTTCTGTTGCATATTTTCTTACATACTCTGAAAGATTGGCAATACTCCATATACAATTCTGTAAATAACTGCATTAAGAAATAACTAATTTCACACAGTATCAAGAGTTTGAGACAGAAGATTTCTGTCTTCTGGGTTGTTGCGCTGTGTAGTCTGGTCGATGTTTACCAACGTTTCAGAGGTCATACTGCCTCCGTCATCAGGGTCCTGATGATGGAGGCAGTATGGCCTCTGAAACGTTGGTAAACATCTACCATACTACACAGGGCAACAACCCAGAAGACAGAAATCTTCTGTCTCACCGCTGTGAAAACCTCAAATCTTACACAGTTTGAGACAGCTGTAAATTAGAAAGAACACTTTGAATTAAAATGTAATTGCCAGGTTGGAAGCTAAGACGTAGTCAAAATAAAATTGTAATTGAGATACCAGGCTGCCAATATGAATTAATGTCCGTATCACTGGGAACATACAAAGACTGTTTAAGGCATACATAATTACTGGTGGTGAAGAGTCATTGAAATTCAGCAAAGAGTTTACCATTTCAGAGGTCCTTGCTGCCTCCAGTTCCCTGATGATGGAGGCAGCAAGAACGTCTGAAACAGTGGTAAAGTACTATCAGATTACACAGTGCTGCAACCCAGAAGACAGCTATCATTTAAATGATAATATATATGTACACATACAGCCCATCTGTACAGTATCAATTACCTTGAACTTTCTTCTTGTACTCTTCTGGTTTATGTAAGTACATAGCAGCAGCATCTCCATTGAGAGGATCAATAGGATTTGGATACGTTAATAACTGGGGAAGAAACGACTCAAAGATGTTAGAAAGATCTATAAGAGAAAACAGAAAACTTATCAAACAAGTTCATAAAATCCATGCTGAAAGCATATACCAGACACTTTCTGTATTTTAATACTGAATCTTAATGTAAGAATCTCCTATATGAAAATGAAAACTAAAAAGTGATGCTTAAAATGGGATAAAAATAACTCAATATGTTGTTATTTTACTTAATTTTAAAGTAAATGCCCTTAACTTACCATACAACGCAGTCCAAGCTTGGTTGATCACATCTAAACACACAGTACCAGAGACTTCATCTATATTTGGATGATACACCTTATTCATGAATCCAATAGAAGGTGATTTGAAGGGATAATGCTCTGGCAAATGAACTCTTACTTTCCAAATCCCACCTTCATATGGAGCTGAAATAATTTTACAATTACTCAAAATTTTGTTTCAATGCATGAATGTACTAAATATCACACATTATTACCATTGCTTTCATGAACATCATACCCTCTTCTTTAAAACTAACAATTCCTAGGGGAACAAAATTAATATTTAGATAGAAACAGAACAATGGCTGAAGACAAGCACAACCTGATTAGGGACCTAATCATTTCTTTGTCTCCTGAAAAATTTAAAAGTTAACACAGTCCTAGTTTCCCAATTGAGGTTACTTATAATGCTGATTGTTCCAGGTTTTATAAATATATAGATAATTAATTCCCTTTTCTATTGAATTCTTAACAAATGTCATGAAGCTTCAGGTGCTTGAATGTGCAAGCGAGCAGAAACACAACACAAAATTATGGATGGCTATGGATGGAGTCCAACAGTAAACTTACAAAATTAAAAGATAAATGTAATAACTATATGGTATATATAACTGACTATATCTTAAAAGTATCAAGAAATGTCTCATACTACAAGAATAATGCCAAATAATACTTACTGCCTCGTGGTCCATAAAATTTAACACAGAATTCATTAAGCCCTCCTAATATAGTCACTTCATGTTTGCTTTCAATTCTGGATCTAAGTTAAGGAGAAAACGTTAATATGCCCCACATATCTGTAACATCAACATCCACCCACTCAATGACAAAGTCCAAAGTACTTTCTTGGAAAAAGCATGTGTGAATCAAACTTCAAAGTATGATTCTCTATTTCAAACTTTCACTGATATGTGGGCCATTTTCCATATTGTCAGATATAAGTGAAGGATTCATCTGGCTCCAGATAGGGACCACTGACAGACTCTTGTGAACATGATAATGAACCTTCAAGTTCCATAAAAGATGGGGAATGTGACTAGCTGAGTGCCTAAAATCTTCCCAAGATGAACTCTGCTCCATAGAGTTAGTTAGTTAAATGGTCCATGCAGATTCCTTGCAGGAAGCTGTCCAAGGAAACTGTCCTCTTTTTGCATACTTGTGAAGGAATACAAAACACACCTCTCTTCTTATAGATTTTCAGCAAAATACCTATGATCTGCCGTCTTCTCATCAGGCCAGATTATCCTGCATGGCATTTTCATTTTCTGTTCTTTCACCAACTGCAGTGATATATGGATGGACAACTTTTTATCTCCAAAATCCTCAATACATATCACTGTTCAACAGATCAGTTTCAAACAACTACCATAGGTAATCAGTCTTTAGAAGCATCGTAAACAAATAAATTTTGATAGTTTAGCAAATATCAACAAATTCTATTGGCTCTTTCATAAGATGTGTGACAGAAGATATAAATAAAATTTGGCATTAATATACTGGTATTCTTTTATTAACTATGTGCTGAAGGACATGCTAGAAATTGTGGATGTCTATTCTGTTATGAGCATACAAGCAAGTTTATTGCATATGCCAATCAGAACCTTTATATTCCAGAACAAAACAAATATCACTACAGCCCTGTGTCTATTTTGGTACACTATTTAGAATTAAAACTGAGATGACATTAAGTGATTTTTATATGAAAATATCAATTAGATACTAACTTCAAAGTGCCTTAAACAACTTATTGAAAAGTGTAATTCCAACAATGGCATTTCTAAAAAATGGCTTATTTTCTAAACAAGTAAGAGTTGTTATATATACCTGAAAACATTTGTTTCCCTTCCAATTCTGGTACCTACTATGAGTATTCTTCTTCTTGTCAGAAAAAGGGGTTTACTTGTCCTCCCCCTGTTGTAAGCTGGGTCACATATGGGAACCAAATATTATCATAAGTTTGTACGGTTTACTACTGATTAATTACTTTGAAAAATAAGAATGCACAGCCCACTTAATTTAATATCTAAACCAGTGGCATGACCATCACTCCATTTTCCATTTTTATGACAAATTTTCTACATAAATGAAGAAGGTTGATCTAATCATCAAAACATAGTGTGCAACTTGGGTCCTCTGAGATTGAAGACCACACAGCAATAATAACAATTTACATTTTTAAATGGTAGTGAATTATGAAACTGTTGTTGGTATGTTTGAAAATGAGACTCTAAAGATGTAACCTTACACAACATACACACAACATTCATCATTGCATACATACATGCCTAAATATTACAACAAAATCTAAATGCCTAAATGAACATGATAATGAACATGGTATGCGTACCATTGGTGGTATGCGAGCCAATGTTGAGTGGTACGGGAACTAAGTAAGAAAATCAAAAGATAATATTAACATAAATAAGTCTTCCCTGAATGCATATGGTTAGTGGTACATTTAATGTGTTAAATTAGAATTAGTGGTATGCCAGAAAAAAAGGGTGAGGACCCCTGGCCTAGACTATTTAACTCTGTGTTGCCTAGACCACGGCCTTGCCCAACACAAGTTATAAATTCGGGCACCGCCAGGAATCGAACCCGAGACCCCAGGATTACAAGGCCAACGTTCTAACCGCTAGACCACCGTGGCGTGGCCTAGACTATATCAAATTAAATACATAAAAATGGTAAATGGCATTATTGTCCTACACTGGTATCAGATATAATAATGAAATCACCTACAAAGCATCAAGGGACAGGAAGGGGGGGGGGGGGCGAAGATAAAGTCCTGCTGTAAAATGTACAGTACTGCAGGAAATGCATGTGCAAACCAATTAGCTGCTTCCAAAAGTTAAGTTATTTGTTGGGGCGCAAAAGCAAGTCTGTACACTGTGGTAAAGAAAAACATCCTGTCCTGCCCTCCCAGTCATCTATCCTGCAGCCTAGTCAGTATAATGCCTGAGCTGTAGAATGATGAAAAAATTTACATACAAATAAATACCTCATTCTTAGTACCAAACTTCTGGCTCATGGTACTTAAAAAATATAATTTGAAATTTGCACTACTTGTGAAGTCATCACAATGATTGCAATAAAAACATGAACACTTGTGATGAATAAACTTACTATCTTCTTTCTTGCAAGAACAATGAAAATAATGAATAATTTTATTGCTGGGCTAACAACGTGCTGCCTGTAGTATGTTTACTATTTACATGTTGTTCCCTTTATAACATACCTTAATGAATGAAAAGTCATGACAGGTTCAGTAGTAAACATACAAATAAATTTCACTGCTCTAACATACACTGTACATTTAATAACAAGTTATAATGAAAAAGTAGTGTAATCGCCTCATGATTAGGGCAGTTCAGTCAGTAAGTAGCCATGAGACCTGGATCAGCTGATGGTCCACGTCAAGGTTGGTTCATGACCTTAAAACCACTATTCCACACAAAGGATACAGTTTTATAACGTCCGTGTCCATTCGTCGTTTCCCTGCACTTGGAGATGACATTTTATCGAGTCTCTAAACGGTTAAAAACCATCAAGAAATTCACTACCGTAACTCCAGCACTGTTCAAACTTTTCTTTCTTCGAATGTTTTGTTCTGGGTTGCCATATGTGTAGGTTTTGTTATATCCACCAGAGCTCACTAGCATTCACAATGACCATAAAGGACAATACACGGAAAAGAAAGTAATGTAACAAAATACAACATATTACGACACGAAATATTGCAAGAATTATCGTTAATTGCTATTTTAACACACGGTCCAAGTATAGAGATCATTATAGCAGCATGTAACCTTTATACCATGTTCGAAACGTCCATCTTCTTTCCTTGCAAGATTAATTTGCCAGCAAGAAACACAAAACACTGCACAACTGTGCTGCGCATAAGCTTGTGTTGTAACAGAGAGCGCAGTGTTAAACAGATGGATGCGTAAATTAGGACGTGGTTCTAAACGGTTCCGCAAAGTAGGTACCCCTTCATTTGATATATTTATCCAGATACTGAGCAATTTTAAAATAATATAATATTAATATACAGAAATTATAAGTTCTTGTATTCATTGTGCGTGAATAGGATTGGTGTCGGAACGAAGACTACAAGATTAAAAGGGGGAGTATATAGTGTATGCCTTAATACACACTGAAGTACTGAGAATTGTGGCAATTAACTTAGAGAAAGTCCACACATATGAATGTAATTTTAGTGATATTCTTCGTATCTATGTAGCAAAGCAGAATCACTGAGAAAACAATCTCCAGTTGCAATAATAATTCCTCAGTTCATTAGATTAAGGAAGGGAGAATTTTGGTCGGAAAAGCCTGAAGGGAAAACGTCTAAAAGACTTGAGAGAATAATATTAAAATGGGCTATAGAAAGTTTGAGAGGTTGTTGACTGGGTTCCAAAGAAGTTAAATTCTAAAGTGGCTAGGAGACTATTAGCTTTTCCTCCGTGAAATTGTGCGCTAGGGGAAATACACAAAGGCTAGGTTTACGATTACGTTGGCGGCTATATTCACTTTTTCCTGTAAGACGCCTTCGATTTATTAAAGAAGCATGTCGTTGATAACACTAGGTTTAGGTGGATTTGGTTACGTCAATTAATTTCAGGTTACGAGAATTTCTATCTCATAAGTTGGCAGCTATACTAGTCTGTAGTGTGTGCGACTACTGCGTATTTAATAATTATATAATTTAATGCTGATTTTCATTAAATTTGGTATTGAATTCATGCCATAGGTGATTTCTCCAAACTCAATCTACCTTATCTTTAAAGGATTGGTATATAAAGTTTTGAACCTCTGTGATCTGATTTAGTTGAATATCGTTGCTAATCGATCTTCAGTCGTTGCTAAACAGGGATTACCAACGGTATAATAATCGCAATGAGCATGTTCATAAAATTAGTGATTTCGTCAAATGGTGACTTGTCTGCTACTGCCACCTGGTGACAAATTGTACATTTTCTGTATTTGCAGCAGAAACGTGTGTAGCCTTGACACACCTAAGCTAGATCGAAGGCCACGGCCTGGGCAGTGGGCTGATCAAGCAAGGAGCTGTCAGCCATGGGCTATTGTGAAATGTCAGAAGTGTAAAAGTAGTTTGCACAGTGAAGGGAATGTAATTTTTAAACATGAGTGATAGAACAAAACCAGTATTATCCCTGGTTTTCGAGTCAGAAGAACAGTTGCAGAAATCACTGGAAAACAATGTTGCAATTATACATCGCCAGTGTCGAGAGATAGAAGAGCTGAAACATGAATTGGATGCTGTTACTACAGAACGTGATATGTTGTTATGTGAAGTTAGCAAATTAAAATTCGAAATGGAGATAGCAGATTTGAAGAGACTTCATGATGGATGGTATGTGCTTACATTGTTATATATATATTTCTCATTTTGCTGTAAAGTAGTGGTATGTAAAGGCCACGTTAAAGAGAGCAATGAGTTCATGTTTTGGATTGCTTTATTATTATTTACTTTAATGCTATATAGTCTGAGTAACTGACAGTGTGTTAAATAAAATACATGGAAATGCTGAAAAAAGTGCTCAGACTATAGAGCAATAAATGATAGGCTGATAAATGAATAGTGACCTGGAAAGGAGGCAGTAGTGGCATGTTTTAAGGCCTACCCCAACATTTTGCCTGGAGAGACTGTGGAAAACCGCAAAAGACCTCAGTCAGTATAGCCAGTCTGTGGGCAAAGATTTTAACCTGAGATCTCAACATGAAGTAAGAGTGCTACAATTATGCCACAAAATTTGGTCATTCTTGCTTTAAATGAAATATAAGTATAGTATAATTCCATGTGATTTCCTATGGAAGTCCTGCATTTATCAAGTTATAGTTAAGAAATAAATGTTGATTTACAGTTGAAAGTTTTGATGCAAAATCTGGGAGGTGTGATATTGATTAGAATGTGTGAGATCTTGAGCTGATATGTATATTTTTTCTTGTGTATTTAGAGAAGCTTGTGAATACATTTGATCATATTTGTGCCACAGTACTTGTAAACCAAGAAGAGAAAGGTATCTTAGAATGGAAAGTAACATTGTTTGGAAATCTCTAAATTAAATCATGTGGCAGACTATCCAGGCATGTTTGATGTAACAGTGTTCTTTGCTGGTTTGGGTAAGCTTGGTTTGGTTCTCATAAGTTAGTTCAGTTCGGGTTAACTTGGTAGTTAAACCATATTTTATGTTTTTTAAGGTTTAACATGACATTGATGCCAGATTTGAAGGTTATGTTGTAATCTTGCAGTAACAACTAATCCTTCGCTGTTAGAAGTTCCAAACTGTAGTGTAGAACTGGGAAAGAATTCATTGTTGATACATGTGCATTGCTTACTGAATTATGCAAGGTGAAAAGTAGCTCATTCTTCTAGACAAGATGCCAAGACTTCAGATGTGTTGCATATGCCACATGTACCATATGGCCTTCTCTGTATGGTGTCTATATAGAAAAATTTAGGCAATATCAAGGTGCTGAAATTTTTGTATTTAAAAGTATGTTGAAAGGTAGTTGCAGAATTTCCATCTTGGAATATTGAGTCACTTCTGAATGTGTTAAGGAAATTATTATTCATTCTTTATACAATCGTTAAAAAGTAGGCATTATTGAATTATACATCGCCAGTGTCGAGAGATAGAAGAGCTGAAACATGAATTGGATGCTGTTACTACAGAACGTGATATGTTGTTATGTGAAGTTAGCAAATTAAAATTCGAAATGGAGATAGCAGATTTGAAGAGACTTCATGATGGATGGTATGTGCTTACATTGTTATATATATATTTCTCATTTTGCTGTAAAGTAGTGGTATGTAAAGGCCACGTTAAAGAGAGCAATGAGTTCATGTTTTGGATTGCTTTATTATTATTTACTTTAATGCTATATAGTCTGAGTAACTGACAGTGTGTTAAATAAAATACATGGAAATGCTGAAAAAAGTGCTCAGACTATAGAGCAATAAATGATAGGCTGATAAATGAATAGTGACCTGGAAAGGAGGCAGTAGTGGCATGTTTTAAGGCCTACCCCAACATTTTGCCTGGAGAGACTGTGGAAAACCGCAAAAGACCTCAGTCAGTATAGCCAGTCTGTGGGCAAAGATTTTAACCTGAGATCTCAACATGAAGTAAGAGTGCTACAATTATGCCACAAAATTTGGTCATTCTTGCTTTAAATGAAATATAAGTATAGTATAATTCCATGTGATTTCCTATGGAAGTCCTGCATTTATCAAGTTATAGTTAAGAAATAAATGTTGATTTACAGTTGAAAGTTTTGATGCAAAATCTGGGAGGTGTGATATTGATTAGAATGTGTGAGATCTTGAGCTGATATGTATATTTTTTCTTGTGTATTTAGAGAAGCTTGTGAATACATTTGATCATATTTGTGCCACAGTACTTGTAAACCAAGAAGAGAAAGGTATCTTAGAATGGAAAGTAACATTGTTTGGAAATCTCTAAATTAAATCATGTGGCAGACTATCCAGGCATGTTTGATGTAACAGTGTTCTTTGCTGGTTTGGGTAAGCTTGGTTTGGTTCTCATAAGTTAGTTCAGTTCGGGTTAACTTGGTAGTTAAACCATATTTTATGTTTTTTAAGGTTTAACATGACATTGATGCCAGATTTGAAGGTTATGTTGTAATCTTGCAGTAACAACTAATCCTTCGCTGTTAGAAGTTCCAAACTGTAGTGTAGAACTGGGAAAGAATTCATTGTTGATACATGTGCATTGCTTACTGAATTATGCAAGGTGAAAAGTAGCTCATTCTTCTAGACAAGATGCCAAGACTTCAGATGTGTTGCATATGCCACATGTACCATATGGCCTTCTCTGTATGGTGTCTATATAGAAAAATTTAGGCAATATCAAGGTGCTGAAATTTTTGTATTTAAAAGTATGTTGAAAGGTAGTTGCAGAATTTCCATCTTGGAATATTGAGTCACTTCTGAATGTGTTAAGGAAATTATTATTCATTCTTTATACAATCGTTAAAAAGTAGGCATTATTGAAATGCATGTGTTTAGCTTCTCTAATGACTCATGTTAAGATTTTACAATATTTTCTATAGTTGCTGGTTCTGCTGATTAGGTAATGTACTCAGTTAAGCTAAGAATATTTGGTGAGTAGGGATTATTAAGATAAATTATTAATTCTTTAGTTTTTTAGGAGAGTCCTCTAATATTTTGATGGTATACCAACAGATTTTCTTTCTGGGTGTATTCTAAGTTTTTGGTTAACTTACTGGTTGAGGTTTGAATTTCCATTAGGCAGTTTCATCTAGTTCTGGGCTTTAATCTAAAAAAGGCCTCGATATTACACCAGAGATCACAGGGATCATACCAGGTTCTGGACCACACGTAATCCTGTCAGCAGTGAGATTCCCAAGCTTCTTCTTGCCTCTTGAATCAAGATGTAATTTATGTCTGGTATGTTCATTAATAATAGCTGATGATACATCTATTACACCAATGTGGGACCTGTCGGTAGTCCACAGCGTACACCCAAGCACCATATATAACTCCTCACCCACCTACTCATACGAGGCTTGTCATGATGCTGAAGAATTCCAAGAAATCTGACATTCATATTAAAGCTGTCATTGGCAATGTTGCTCAGATGCCTACTTTTCAATTTGAAAATATTTATGCAGATGTTTTGGTGTTGATAACATGAATTTGGTAAACATTATACAATTTTCAAGGAGTGAATTGAATCGAAATTGTCGAAATCTGGCTGTGCACCCATCATGTGCTTTAACTCAGTTTCATTTTATTTTGGGTTAAATGTGTTTCAGTTGTTTATATTTGAATTTATTCACATTTTCCGTCATGCTTGCTCATGTGGTTTGTCTTCTGATCTGTTTCATTGGATTTTCTAGGTTTATCTTATTAAATGAGTTCTTATTTATTTCATAGAGTGCCCCTAATGTAAATAATAAATTATATTTTTAGTTTTAAACCTGAAATTTTTATTAGTACTACATCAATTATGTGTTTTAAGGATAAAATTTGAAGATGAAAACTTCCATGTATTTACAGCACTGGGAAATGCCAGGTACAATATTCGGTACTTGTGGGTTATCGGGACACATTACTTTAAAAATAGGTTAGGTTAGGTTAGGTTAATGTGTGTGGATAAATGACATATACTTGAAAGTTATTATGTTTTATTTTAATAAATGACAACTAACCTAACCTAACTTAACCTAACCTATTTTTAAAGCGATGTGTCCTGATAACCCACAAGTAACCAATATTCCCATGACAGTGGCTGACATACCGTCGGCTGTGGTCATATATACGTTGGAACATGTGCTGTTTTTTCAAGTTCTAAGACACTACAGCTGAGGCTGTATAGGTTTTAGTACTCATGAGAATTACATCAATTAAACAATCTCTGCTTACAAAAATAAAACTGTCATGCAACTTGTGCTAACCAGAAAGCTATTGTAGTATTTGAGGTTTACACGACACTGAGTCTTCTGGGTTGTTGCACTGTGTAGTGTGGTAGAAGATTACCGACGTTTCTGCAAGGACCTCTGAAACGTCGGTAAACTACATGGCACAACAAACCAGAAGATAGCCATCTTCAGAAAGCTATTGCAAGGTAATTATTTCTGATATGTGTTTTGATGGGTGTTGGTTCTGAGCTGTGCACGAATTAATGTTTAAATTCTATTTAAATTGTTAAACATGGATTTTTTTCATTGAATATATCAATCAAGAACTGAACATACAAAATCCAGCACAGTTGTAACAAGTTAAGTTGCGAAAACTATTACGTTAGGTAATCAGTTCTTAGGACGGAACTGTATAGCTGTGCTGCCATCAGCAGTAGAACGTAATGGCTGGTAAAAATGGGAACATTTTACAAGGGTGTCGTTTATTCAACTTTGAAGTTTACAGAATACAAGATATGTAACTAAGTCGAATTCAGTGAAGTTGTACGTTGATTTTAGCATAATAGGAGTTTGGAATTCAAACATCGTTGTGGGTGACGGCTGTGTTTATTAAAGAGGAGTGCATACTGGAATATCGTGGAACGTGCACAATTGTGTCTGCCTGGAGATTCGATCAGTAACGCCTGGAGGAGGTTAGTACGTAATGTGAACAGAACCCAGTGCATGTCATTTACATGGCGATAGTTTTATCGGGAGAGTTTTGGAGGGGCGTGACAGGCGTCTGTCATATGACTACTACTACAGTTAGGCGTTTCACTTGTTCAGTATTCATGAGGGAAAGCAACTAAATATTTCATCTGATTTCTGTGGTGCGTGACATGTGGGCCAACGCGTAAGTTGAAGTGACGATAATGTATTTTTTTGAGTTCTCTTCATTTGCTTGTGTCTGTAGTGTTCTGCACCTGGGGAAAATGTTTGCTTGGATATAATTGTCGGAGTTCCCGATACTTTAACAATGCCATTAGTTCTAGAAATTACAGTTGGTGCCCAAGAGAATTGAAGTCAATAGTTTTCAAACTTTTATAATCTTATTTCTTTATTTCAAAACCATTAAAACATCGAATAACTGAATGCTGTATACCATTATCTATTTTCTTTTGTTTGTTAAGTCGGATTTTGGTTTTGGTTGGGTGATACGCAATTCTGTTTCGTATTCTGGACGCCCCAGTTACCCCAGCCCTGTGCGTCGTTAAATAAAACATTGATAAATAGGTAAACAGATGCAGAAGAGATCGCAGCAACAATTTTTTTTTCTAATTTCTTTCAGGTGGTTTATTTTGAGGAGATACTTTAATGTAGGGCCTGAATTATGGCTACTTCTTTTATCTTGTGATTCTCATCTTCGTAATACCAATACCAAATTTAGAAGCCCAGTAGCAAAACAAACATTTTTAAGGCACGTATCTCTATCCATTATGAGAAATTAACGATGTCTCTGTAACAGGATCTGGAAGTGTGGAGGTGTACTGTTATACGAAATCACGCTTGTCGTTTGATGTCGAGTGTACTGAAAGATTTCGTACGGCCTGAGCACAGGATCTTGAAAATGGGCCTTCTACTGAAACAGTTAATTCACATTACACTGATTAAATATCAGTTAACAGTACCACTTAGCAACTGACAATTGCCCAGCGCCACTAAGATTCACTAGGCAGTGCAGTGTCCAGCCGTTGTGTTTATAGGGCCTCCTGGTTTCTTTTTGTGCGAGATTTTAATTTCACAGTCGAAGTTTTACATTATTACATTTTAGATTGTATCAGATCTTGGCAGTCCAAGGAAACGCCGACAGCGGTGGAGGTAATTGTTCTTGGCTTTAAATATGTTGCTTTCATCAAGGCTGTGTATGTGTTCGTGCATTTACGAATGCAAAGCTTGTCGTTGCGTACATCACGGTCTCATTGAATAAGTTACCTTGAAACACTGTTTTTCAGACTGTCGTCGATACACTTTGGATTTTGTGGTGTGTTTTCTATAGTCATTTAAAGCAATCGATGATGTGCTGATTGTTGGCTTAATAATGTTAACAATTTCGTCAGACAGGAAAGATTTTCTTTCCTTCGATAATTGTTTTTTTATTCCGCCATAGTCTTGATATTGTGTTTAGGACTTTATGTAATAAGACAGTGAGTTATTTGTAAGAAACTGGATGGAACGAGGTTCGTTCGAAGAAATACCCGACAGTTTGTGTCTGTTATTTAACAACACAGCAGTTTGTATAAACAACTTTTGCTTGACAATGGAAATGTCCGTACTTCCTTCTGACGTTGTCAATTGTTTTAGCTCAGAGTAG